ATCATCCCAACTTTCTACTTTTCTTTTCATTCATATAATTCTCTACTCTTCTTAAAGTTTTAAAAAATGCCCAGTGATATTCAATGAAAAGAATTATTTTTTCCAACCTGCCTCAGTAGGTTATATGTCAGGTGAGGTTTTATGGACTTGTACTGCAAAGATATAATGTTATATTACATAGAAGGAATATAGGAGAAATATTGCTGATTAAAAGGCATCATACTGGATAGCGACCATGTGCATCGAGGAAGAAAAAATGGAAGTAGGATTAAATTGTAAGTATGAGGTTCTGTAACGGGGGATTCGGAATGCCCATTCATTCGGAATGCCCACTAGCCATTCATTCCTGGAATGGAATGCAAACTGGCACCACAGCTATTCACGTTTGATTTAAGCCTTTATATGCTCACAGTTGTGTGAGTGGTAAAATAAAGAAGAATCTATAATGCAGTGTGTAAGGGCTGTCCTTGGTCACCATCTGAAGTCATCTTATTCACTCCCAGCTCGGTTGTCCAGTACCTAAGCTCTGTGGGGCAAGGACCCGGTGGGGCGGGTTCAGCCGTCAGAGCAGACCTGGCACTCAGCAGGCTGTGTTAGTCGGCGAGGGCTGCTGCCCAGGGCACCCACACTGGGGCGGTTAGACAACGGAAACTGAGGATCTCCCAGTCTTGAGGCTGGAAGTCTGAGATCAAGGGCCAGGCTCCCTCTGAAGGCTCTAGGGAAGACTCCGTTCTAGGCCTCTCTCCTGCATCTGGTAGTTCCTTGGCTTGTTGCCGAACTCCAGTCCTCCCATGGCGTTCTCCCCGTGTGCGAGTCTGTCTCCAAACTTCGCCCTTTTATAAAGTCACATTGGACTAGCCTCCCCCACCCTCAGATGGCCTCATCCTCCCTTAACTAATTACATTTGGAATGGACCTATTTCCAAACAGAGTCACATTCTGAGGTACTGGGGGTTAGGATTTCAACATGCGAATTCCGGGGAGATGCAATCCAACCCATAACATAGATGTGCAATACATATGTATTAAATGAATGAAGAAACGAGATCGGGAAAGGGCTGGTCTGGGCACCGTTCTCCTTCCAAGTGGTCAGGACACTGTGCACCTGATGACAGCTGTCCCGGGAACCAGTATTCGGTAAAACGTAAGAGTCAGTGATGGTAACTTGATTCTTTATAGACACAAGAGGGTGATTCCTTGAGTGACCTGAGGATGACCGTACATACACGGTCAGTGGCTTAATAACAGATAAAGTATAAATGTATAAAGAATTCTAGGAAGACTATCCAGTTATAGCTAGAGAGTGGCTTTGGATGTGACTTGTTGGTTCCTGAGCTGAACCTGCAAATCTGGACGCTGGGCACAGTGCTGCCCAAGGTCTGAAAACCCACGCGTAAGCCCAAGTTCAGGACATTGCCCCAGGCCCTATCGATGCTCTCTGCTTCGGGAGCCCTAGACTTTTCTCTCATTTGGCTTCTAGCATCGCTCTGGGTATCTGTTCTCATCTGACCTCTTTTGTCTTCTCACAGGACTTAAACTCATTGCAGAATTCTTAGACATTTTGCATGTAATTTCTCCAAAGTTCTAATTTTCACAGAGAGGAAACTTTCTGTTGTGTTTATAGAAAATTTGATCCCTGTGTACCTATTGTTCACTGCTTTTGTTCCTCATTGCGATGGCACAGATCTGTACGATACTGGAACTTCTGGAGTTGCAGAAAAATAAGCACCATGGGAGGAAGGAGTCATGTCTGATTTTTTTGTTTTCCAGCTGTATTCTCAGTTTCTGAATGGCAGATATTTGTTGTCTTACTGAGATTCCTTTCCTGCTGGGAACCTAAGGGCTAATCGCTTCAGCCTTCAGCAGAATGATTGAAAATAACTAATGTGGACATTGTGGGAGGCATTTTATGTACTTCTATACTTTAGGCTGTGGGCTGCAAGCTGCTGGGGAAATGCTCCTCCATTATTTAAAATATTTCTTCTCATATACTGTTTTCTGTGTCTGTAAATAAACACCCTCACTTTCAAGACAACCATGTGTCTACTGAGAGCCAGCTTCACATTCAGGTAGGATTTTCTTTCAAACACTTCAAATATGGGTTCTTCCCATGTGAAACTGATACTAAAAAACTAGAAACTTACTTGGGGCGCCTGGGTGGCTCAGTTGGTTAAGCAACTGCCTTCGGCTCAGGTCATGATCCTGGAGTCCCGGGATCGAGTCCCGCATCGGGCTCCCTGCTCTGCAGGGAGTCTGCTTCTCCCTCTGATCCTCCCCCTCTCATGCTCTCTGTCTCCCATTCTCTCTCTCAGATAAATAAATAAAAAATCTTTAAAAAAAAAACTAGAAACTTACTCAAAGTCACCTGGCCAGGGAGTGGCAGAAACAGGACTCAAACCGGGCTTTCTGACTCCAAGGTCAGTGTTCTCCCCCAGAAAATATTCAAGTGACTGTTTTTCTTAAGAGACAAAAAAGGGAAAGAGGAAATGCACAACTTTTATTACAGTTCATAGATCTAAAACTGGGAGCACTCCCCCCCCCATCGGTGGGGAAACTGAAGCCCAAAGCCTCCCTCAAAGGGTCACAAAACAGTAATGGGAGAAGAGTGTCTAGAACACATCTAATAGAAATAGAATGCCTGCCTCAATACCAGCCATAGTGGTAATTTTATTTTTTATTGTTTTTAAAGATTTTTATTTTATTTATTTGACAGAGAGAGAGAGAGAGACAGCCAGAGAGGGAACACAAGCAGGCGGAGTGGGAGAGGGAGAAGCAGGCTCCTGGCCGAGCAGGGAGCCCGATGCGGGGCTCGACCCCAGGACCCTGGGATCACGACCCGAGCCGAAGGCAGACGCCCAACGACTGAGCCACCCAGGCGCCCCCATAGTGGTAATTTTAAATTTTCTAGCAGTGTCATTAAAAAAAGTAATGTGATAAAAAACAGATAAAATTAATAATATATGCAAATGATCCAATACATCAAAAAAATATCATTTCGGCACATGATAAATAAATAAGTTACTAATGGGTATTTTACATTCTTTTTTTCCCATTCCAAATCTTCCAAATCCTGTGTGGATTTTACACTTATTGCACCTCTCAATTCAGGCTAGCCATGTTTCAAGTACTCAGAAGCTGCATGTGGCTAGTGGCTACACTCTTGGACAGCACAGCTCCAGGACAGCGCTGAAGCCCTAATTTCCTTCTCAGCAAATGCACACTACCTCTCTGACTTACGTGCTATTGGAATTTATAAAATAATAATCATAAAGAGCTGGTGCTTATTTTGAATTACTGTAGGTGGAAGAAGGCAGGAGTAGCAACCAGCTGGGAAGTATATTTCATTCGTGGAAGATGTTTTACATTATAACTCTTGTCCAAGTAGTGCAAATTAGTAATGAAAACTAGATTATAAATTTCACAGTGGGGTATAATATTGAACATATTTGTGTTCTGAAGATAAAAGTGACTAATACACTTTTGACGTAATGCTTCCAGGATTTCTGATTCTCATTCTTTGAGTTATTTTCAATTATGGAAACATTCCATTAAAACTCATTCCCTTCTCCCTGGCACCCCCTCCACCCACCCAAGGAGCAGCACAGGGGCTCTTATAACATCATGGTAGGGGAGCTGCCCTCCTTCTCCCACTTAAATCTGTTCAAATACTAACAGGTCAGTCTTTCCTAAAATATGCCCAACGGAACAATTCTGTGGGGTGTGGTTAATGATTCTACAGGGAAAAAGAGTTTGTGTCCAAATGAGTCTGGGCAAAACTGGGCTAATCGTATCAGTTATGGTGGGATTTGGCTGCATGTGACAAAGTTGACTCACAGTTTTAACCAAGTAGGAATTAATTTCTTCTCACATTACAAAAGATCCAGACACAGTCCAAGGCTGATGCAGTGACTTCACACTCTCCCCAGCATCCCAGACTCTTCTTCCTCTCTTGTCTTCAGCTTGTACTTTTAATCCTCATGCTCATTGCCTCCTACTTGCAAGATGGCTTCCCCAAATGTGTATGTTTTAGGCTCAAAGAAGAAAGGAGGAATGGAGTGAAGGAGGGATGGAAGGATGAAAGGAAAGGGGTTAGGAAGGATGGAGGGAAGGAGGGATGGAGGGAGGAAAGATGCCTTCATCAGGAAAGCTAAAACTTTCCCCCAAATCTCTAGGAGTCTCCTACTTAGGTTTCATTAGCTGGAATGATATCCCAAGGCTACCTCCAGCTTCTGGAAAGATGGATATTTTAACAGAGCACATTATAGTGGTAAACTAACCCTTCTCTTCCTAAGAATGAAGGAGGAGATGGAATCTGGAATGTTCAGTATGTGCCACATGGAGTCCAAAGTTTTCTTAGAGACTTTTTTTTTTTTTTAAGATTTTATTTATTTATTTGACAGAGAGAGAGAGAGAGAGCGAGAGCAGGAACACAAGCAGGGGGAGTGGGAGAGGGAGAAGCAGGCTTCCCGCCGAGCAGGGAGCCCGATGTGGGACTTGATCCCAGGACTCTGGGATCATGACCTGAGCCGAAGGCAGACGCTTAACGACTGAGCCACCCAGGCGCCCCGACTTTTTTTTTTTTTTAACATTTTCCTTTGTGCATGTCAAATGGGGTAAATATTAACCTCCTTTTTTTTCCATAAAATCTTTTTTTTTTTTTTCTTTTCCCACGATGGAACTTGAAGAACTATTGATCTGGAAGATATGCTTTGGGGACGTTGTATTGGTGTGTAATCGTGAGAAAGCCACATGTCCTAAAAAGAGACGAATGAGGGGTTTGCAGACGACCCTGGTATATGACGAACGCTGATGTCGTCCTTGCCCCCTTTCTCCCTTGTCCACCTCTCTTGTAGTAGCTGAGGTTGGTCTTCTCTCTCGTTGGGTAATTAGCCATGCATGGACATGTTCTCGGCGCTTCCAAGGAGAGTTTTTGCTTTCTTGATGAAGGGGATGGAGGATGTGCACGCTAACCTCTTCCCTCTACCTCTGCCTTGAACACAGATACCATGCCTTGAGTGACAGCGACCATGTGGCCCAAACCAGTGCACGTCCCCAGGAATTCCAGAACCAGCAGCCCTTCAGTGAACGCCAGCCAGGCCCAGGGCGTGACGTGAGAAACAGTAGCAAGCCTCCCGCTCCAGGTGCGGCCAGGAACCAGCAGGTGGCTGTGGTTGGGTGGCCCCCTTCAGATCCCGGCAGCCTCCGCGGCGGGGCGGGCCCC